TCCTGCTTAGCAAGAGGCAGAGAGATCTCCGGCAGACAAAATACCTTAAAATAGTCTTTAACTAAAGGACCATCAGGGGCTGAGTCTCATAAATGGTTATGAAATGGCAAACCCTTCACGCTTGGTCGATTCCTCCTTCCCCAGAAGTTACTGTTTCACAAAAAATGTATTTGCTTCCGCCCCTCCCCGCTGCACGTCCCAGGAGAAGTCCTGCCTGCTGGGTTAGGACCTTGCTGTTAACCGAGTTTTGAGTTACTTGGCCAGCTTATCTCGGGTTTCAGAGTATTATCTCAATCTGGTGTAAGCGTGCTAACGCCGCGGTAAAAAGCATCAGGCGTGTTCTCACGCCACCGTGTATTATGTGTTGATACGTGTTGCAAACCCTTCCTGGCTTCACAGACGTGCTCCCTTTTCTATCATCTCTTACTCTTGCCAACGATTGAATTTAGCAGTGTCGGTACTTTTGAGAGGGGGTGAGACCAGGATCTGGGCTAGGAAGAGGGATATTATGGGAAGACATAAGCCGCGCATTACTATGGCTTCAATGTGTGTGGATTGGGAGGAACTGAACTCTGTCTCTTCTCACCACCTACTAATCTTTCCCAAGCAAGCACAAGAAGAAAGTCTTTACATTTGCAGAGAATCATAAATAGGCAAGGGCAAAAGCTTCAAGAGCTGCGGAGAGAAGAAGAGATCGTAACTCCTGATTATTTCAAAAGCACGTCCTTTCTACCCCGTAGTCTAGAGGCATTTGTGCACCACGACAGATCTACTGATCACCCCTACCCGGGATCATAGCCTCGCAGCAGACCCTAAAGAGTTTTATCACACGGCAGTTGTCCACCAAACCATCTTTAAATGAATTTAAAATAGGCAACGGCTGGGTTTTGCCCGACTGGCCTGTTATCCCGCTTTGGATCGCATTTATTTTACACGCTTCATGTTAATTGTTCCTTTTAATCTCCCACGTGGCTTCCCACTCCTGCCTCGCCCAGAAACTCCTCCGATCCGCCTTTCACCTCCACTCGCCCAGAGGGCTGGAGCCGATGTGGTTGTTTAGTTAAATATGCTTATTTCCTTTAATGCTTTTTAAATGAAGCCCCACAGGGATGGCGATTCCCCCACTCCCCACTCCCAAAGAGAGGCCAATGGAGCCTCTTTGAAGCGTGGGGGAAAGTACAGTAAATGCATTTGGAAATTGGTGCCGCATGGACCAGTCACTTGATAAACACTCACCACACTGTAGCAGGCGAAGATGCTCCGGGCCCAAAGGGCAGCAAAAGCTTAAAGCTCTCAGGGCACCTCAAGAGCCTGGACTTTCCCACATGAGTGGAACTGATGAGGACATATCTCTCCAGTGGAAATAAGGGGAAAATTGTCACTTTTGTGTGCACCCTAGCTGTTTGGGAGTTGATTTTCCCCTGGCTGGATTGTAGATAAACTAGCAGGGCAGGCACCTCCCTCACCCAATCCTGTCTTTAACACTAGGGGCCCGGTGCTTTTTTCTCTTTTTTAAAGAAAACCCAAATCTTCCTTGTAAAAGTCACTTCGACCCCAAGCCACAAGGTAACAATTATTTTATGACCTCAGTCCCCGGGTGAGGTTTCATTGCACTCCTGAAAGGAACTTTCACCCTCTCTTTC